AACCTACAAGCTTGCCTGTCTTATTTTCTTTCCCTTGTCCTGCTGAGAAGGAGTGAGAGAGCAACTGGGTTGTGAGGGTCTGGCAGGCAGCTGAGGTCAACCCACTACATCTTTATTTTAAAAAAAAAAAAAATTAGTCTTTTTGAAGTCAGTGCTGTGCAGTTACTTAATTTGTGCTATTTGTGCAGTGATGCTTCTGTTCTTGTTTTGTGTGTTTGTAGAAATCTGTAACTGCTATGATGGGTAATAAGAGCACTAAAATAACCCGTAATAGCTTGAGAATAGTATCAGCAGAGCAACTTCATAGCCAGCAATAATATAAACCTTGTTGTCACATCAGCCTGTAAAACTTGTGCAAAGCTTTTCTTAGAAACCTGTAGAATGAGGTCTCTTAATATAATTTAGATACCTAAAGTGCTTGGTTTTTTACATATCCTTATTTAAGGTGTTTAATCTCTTGTAACACTAGGGCAGACTTAATATCCTTCTCTCTCTCTCTCTCTCTCTCTCTCTCTCTCTCTCTCTCTCTCACACACACACACACACACACAGGATCTCTACAAATCTGCTTTCTTTTACTTTGAAGGCATCTTTTATAATGATAGAAGACATCCAGAGTGCAGAGATCTGAGCAGGTACAGTATCTTTAAACATTGACTAAGGAAAACCTTAAGGGGCAGGAAATTTGTTTCATTTTGTTTATAATTTCTGATGTTTCTAAGACTGAATGTTGAGTGTATGAAGGTAGAATGGACTTTTCTTACTAACTTTTCATGATGAATTATTTTTACATAGACGTTTAACTTTACTTGCTCTACTTATTCCTTCCACTCACATCTCTTCTGGAAAGGGGATGTATGCACTGTTTTCCCTGCAAAGCCTGTTTTGCGCTGTTGGAATGGGATTGCTGTGGAAAGTACCAGGTGCCAGTCTGTACTGGCTTTTCAAGTGCCCTCACTAGTTGTGATGACCAGCAAAAGACTTACCTGTGAAGTAAAAGATGGGTCAGAATGACAAGCAGCTCCGTTGTGTGGAAGTTGGTTGTTCTGCTCAGTCTTGAAAATATGCCAAATGCCTTCATGATAGAGTCAACAAGGGGATTGTATGACTGTTGGGAAGAGATGCCTGAGATGACACTGGCAAGAGTCTCAGGTATCTCTTGTTTGAAACTATAGCTCATATTAGTTGAGCACAAGTCATATGCATTTAAACTGTACATAGTAGTTTATTTTAAAGAAATATGGGCTTGCTGACACACTGAGATCAGGATGTTAAAGTGGATGGTATGGAAGAGCTGTGGGTTTGAACTCTGTTCTTGTTATGCCAGACTCTGTGTGTGACTTCAGAGAAATTCTTTTGCTCCTTACCTTTTTGTCCGTGAGCAACTGTCATGGTTTAGGGCTGGGCTGTCCACTAAATCCTGGACAGATGCTTGCTATTAACCCCTCTCCCCTTCCCAGAAGGGAAGAGAAAAGAGAATAACAGAGAGAGACTTTATGGGTTGGGAAATAAAACTAACATATTTAATAAAACAATAATACTAATACTACAGGATAATAATGTAAACAGGAAAATAATGAAATATATACAAATATGTACATATGTGTATATATACATATACACAAAACCAATATAAAATCCTCCCCCAATGACGAATACATCACCAGAGGCTCTGCAGAGCAGGGTGCTGGAAAAGTCCCAGACCAAACTCAGCAGCAGGTGGGAGCAGGATGCAGGACACTCAAATCGGGATCAGAGGCAGATGAACCAGCAGGGTTCTGCTCAGGCCTCAGCCGTTGCAGGATCGAGATGGACGGAAGGGTCCGAGATGGAAGGGTCAAGACCCTCGTGATCCCTCAGTTTTATACCTGGTATGATGTATATGGGGTAGAATATCTTGTTGGTCAGTTTTGGGTCCACTTCCTCCCTGTAGGCGCAGACACGGCACCCACAGTGAGACAACTGACCTTGAGCATATCTTCTAGCAGCACTGTCTGGGAAAAACATGCTGCCAGTTTTAGCAGGTTCAGCCACTTAAGATCTTGACTGAGCTGAAAAGTAATATCACTAAATAGAAAATTAGTTCTATTTAGCTCAAACCAGGACAGCAACAATGATCTTGGTGGAAAGGCTTGTAATAACATATGCAGATTGTAGAAGTGAAATGCCTTGTATGTAGGAGTGTGCTGAGAAGCTACGCACAATAATTGGAACAGTGGCCAGTGCCCTTCCGGCACTAAATTTTGGAAAAGTAACTGTGCAGTTGTCAGCTTTGTGTTTTATCTTTATCAAAACCAAATAAAGCTTTTCAGTACTTTAGGTTATTGACCAAAGGAGCAAAAATTACTTGCTGGTAACTTGAATTGTTGGAATGCTTGGGAGGTGCTGTGCTGCAGACAGCCCAACCTGAATGGGTGCCATGAGGAGCATACACTCTGACTAGAACTCTAGTTCTAATGAACAGGAAACTGCCTGCTGGGGATTTAAACGCAGGTATTCTGCAAGAACAGTGCACAGCACTTGAGGTTGTGGTATTGCTGTGAAATTATTTGAGTTTATTACAAGAAGTTGTGAGCTGTTTTGATTTCCATATTTTTAACTGTGTCCCAGTGAAGAGTTTTGCATCTCCCCAGAGGCCTTCATTTTCTGTGCATTCGCAGTTTATAGCATTGCTATACTGACGACCTTTCTGTTTTCAGAACGATTATTGAGTGGTCAGAATCACATGACAGAGGCTATGGAAATTTCCAGTCTGTTAAAATGGAGGACTACACATTTAATGATTTGTCCCTCAAAATTGGCTTTCCATACCTCTTCTGCCACCAAGGGAACTGTGAGCACATAATTATCTTCACAGATATAAGGTAAGTTACTGGTCTGTGGGAGTCCTTAGGCAGTTGAAAGCAAGCCTTCTGTGGACAAACTTCAGACATTAAGTGCTGAATATTTGTTAGACTAACTTTAAGATTATTCTGCTACTTTCTGCTGTGCTTATTTAAGATTTTATTCCCATATACGTGTGACTACCTCAGCAAGGAAGAAAGTAAGAGTAATCTCCCTAGCTTTTTTTTTTAATATTTTTGTCTACATAAAAAAGCTGCTTTCTAACTAGCATGGCATGACTGTGGTATGGGAGGAATAGCACCCACAGTGAAAAGCTCTTTATATGCAGGGCCAGTGTGTGTCATATTTACATACTTACTCTGGAACAGAATGCTGTTAATGGCTCTGGCTGAAGTCAGCTGGACTTGTTAGTTTCAACTTGGTGCCAAGGGACAGGAGCTGAAAAGAGAACAGAGGAGTGGAATTAAGGGAGAGAAGGAAGTAAAGGTGATAGTGGCTGTGAGTTGGCAACCACTTAACAGTGGAGCTATTGTGTATGCTCTGCTTAGTGAGGTTAGGTTGAGAGCACACTTCTCTGATTGCCTGTAGTGGGTGACAGATCATTGTCCATTCACAGAAGCCTGATACAGCTAAGCATTGTTAATAAATGATGTCTGACAACAGGAGTACAACCCAGAGAACTGCATAGATGATGCCCTTCAAGTAGACAATCTCAGGATTATGTGCCTCTAGACTCACCTGGTAATGTTTTTGCTTGTTAGTCTATGTAGGAGATAAAAGCTTTGAGAAGACCATCTAAAGAGTAGTTCCGAAGTCTTTTGAGTTACTAGACAAACTGAGTTTACTCCTGACCGCAAAATCCACAGTGCAACTAGCAGTCTACCTCCAGGTCTTCATCTCTGTCAAGAAATGCTAAGCAGAAGTCTAGTCATAGTTTACACAGGAATTTAAATCATGCCTTATCTTCAGTGTCCATGCTTATGGTCAGATAAGTTCCAATGTGGCTGAGTCTTTATTGTATTTTATGTATTACTTATTTCCCTCAAGGCTCATTCATCATGATGACTGTCTGGACAGGAACCTGTATCCCTTGTTAATAAAGAAACACTGGTTATGTACCAGAAAATGCTTTGTGTGCAAAATGTACACAGCCAGGTATGCTACGTTCTCAATCCTTTTAAGTTGTCTTCTTAAGTTTTTCTAGATGCTGCTACTAACTTAAAACAAACATACAAACAAACAAAACAAAGCCCTGTATGTATTTGATAAGGTGTGTGAATAATCTTCATGCAACTATTCTGAGAGCTTACTCTTCAGGCAGTTGTCTTCTCCCTGCCCAGCAAAAGGCCTCCTGTAGATAGTGCTCATTTGGAGGTGATGATTCAGGATGATCAAAAGAACTGAAACGATGAAGAGATTAATTGTTTGGCTAAGGTTCTTTTGCATGTAAAGCTCAGCTTTCAATCACTTACTTCTGAAAATGGTGCTTTTGGGGGAAAAATGCTGCATTTTTTCCCTGTGACAAGACACGTGTTTCGAATTAATTTGCCAGAAGTTGTACAGAGTTTTCATTAAATCTGACATCTAAGCAGAGGGAACTATGGATCAGTCCAACTTTAATATAGTAAAATCTGGATTTTAAAAAGCATATAGCTTTTCTCATAGGTAAACTCCTAATCTTTACCTGGAAACTGTGCTGTGCAGCTGTACTTATAGAAACCTTTTGTGATACACAGATTTTCTGCGGTAAAGAGAGGAGAATGTGAACTTGGTGCTCTTTATACTCTTTAGTGCTCTTTACTTAGACATGAGAAAGCCTTTCAATAGACACAGTAGAAATTTCTCTAAAGGAGTTCTACAGACTAGGCTAGGCTCCCCGATTTCATAGGTCTGAACGATTTATCTGCAAAAAACACCTACTGCCCTTTTTTCAATCCTAGGGCAGCTTATACTCAGCCTCAGTTTGACACAGCAGCTGTGTCCTCGTTATCTTGCTTGTTTGGCCTTAGACTTCCCTGGAATCAGGCAAAGGGCCAATTCCTCTCATGATGGAAGCCCATCCTAGTGTTCCTAGCAGAGCCCCTAACATGCCTTCACTAGTGGCTATAATCCTTGAGGCATTTAGCCATAAGGGGAGGTGGAGCCAAAGGGTCAGTATGGGGGAAAGATGGGATAGGGAAGACATTACCAGAGGTGATGTAAATGCATTAAATTAAAACCAGGATTAAGCACTAAGCTTAAGTGGAGAGATGCTAAACCATGGATAGCAGAGCTGCTTTGACTGGCCGTCCTGTGTGTTCTAATCTGTGCAGATAGCATCTTTAATCACTAGAGGCCTTGAGCTGCTGTGGCCTCTGAGTGCTACCGTAAATTGCTCGGTGACACTGCGGGCCCTCCTTGCGCTGGCAGCTGTGTTCATGTTAGCTTTAGTGCTGGCTGGAATGTGCAGCGTTCCTTTCCTTGTCTTGTCTGCATCATCCAGGCCCTCTTTTAGACCTGTAAATGGATTTGGTTATTGCTCAGACTAGTCTGGGTCAGTCACATGTCTACTCTGTATAACAGTTTCTTACCTTAAGGGAAAACAGATTTCTTTCTTGTGACTCTTATGTGCAGGGAGAAAATTAGAAGGGCCAAAGCATAGCTGGAACTTAATCTAGCTAGTGCTGTTAAAGACAATAAAAAGGGTTTCTATAAATACATTGGCAACAAAAGGAGGAATAAGGAGAGTCTCTACACTTTAGTAGATGTGGGGGGGACAGGACATAGGGACCAGGGATGAGGTACTTAATGCCTTCTTTGCCTCAGTCTTTAGTAGGAAAACCAGCAGTACTCTGGATACCCAAACCCTGACCAGGAAGACAGGGATGGTAAGCACAGTGAAGCCCCCATAATCCATGAAGAGGTGGTTAGCAACCTGCTACACCACTTAGACATACACAAGTCTATGGGGCCAGATGGGATCCACCCCAGGGTCCTGAGGGAGCTGGCAGAAGTGATCGCCAAGCCACTTTCCATCATTTATCAACAGTCCTGGCTGACTGGGGAGGTCCCAGTCGACTGAAGGCTTGCAAACGTGACGCCCATCTACAAGAAGGGCCGGAAGGAAGACCTGGGCAACTACAGACCTGTCAGTCTGACCTCTGTGCCAGGGAAGGTGATGAAGCAAATCATCCTGAGTGCCATCACACGGTACATGCAGGGCAACCAAGTGATCTGGCCCAGTCAGCATGGGTTCAGGAAG